AATATGTGACTTATGTATGTGTAACTAAATTAAGACATTAAACATTTAAAAATAGAATTTGATAATTTTATTTATAATTTAATGTATCGATATCATCGGGTTGGCAAAAACTTTAAATTTTCCAATTGAGGAAAGGTGGGGACTTACTTCAGACCGTGTATGTGTGTATATATCTATATATAAATGTATGGTTGTGTACATGTAGTTTATATGTAGAGAAAGTTTTCCTCATATAGACATATCATAATTTTCAATAATGAGAATGTTACATACAAATGTATTCATTACAGCAAATTCTACAACAGGAGAAATGTAGAAGCTGCCCAAATTCTCCATCATACAAGAACTGATGAAACCATAGTATGTTCCTATGTACAGTATTAATGTAGCTCATTAAAAATGCTGATTAGTAAAAGTATCTAATAACATGGAATTGATTTTATATTGTTAAAAAAGATGGAATGTGTATATGAGTATGATTATGTGTAATAATCCAATGAAAAAGAACACTGGGAAGGAATATACCCAGATAGTAACCATAGTTGCTCCTTGGTCAGCTGAGTTTCTTTTGACCTAGAACACTGAAATGAACTTCAGGGAGGGAAGAGCTCGGGTCACTGAGTTATAGATCCCAACCATGCCGTCTTCCCAGGGCAGTCATCCGCTGAACTCAGGATGATCGTTTACTGCTGAATAAGGTCAACCATGCAAAGCTGTCCCTGCTAGTAAATTAAATCACATACATTAAATTTTTTTTTATTGGCCCCAATTCTGGGCCTCTTCCTGAACATGGGAAGAGAGGTGCCCTCTTGGAGTCTCCATAATCCCCTCCCCTGATCCACACCGAACCTCCAAACAAAGAGAGAACAAACTTCCTCTTTCATTTTGGGCCGTGTCCTCAGGCTTTGAAAATTCCTCCATGGTGCTTCAGTCTTTAGCTGATGGCTCTTATCTCAGTTAAAATACAGTGTTCGCTCCCTCTGACTCCAACCTCAGAAAACCTAAAGCCTCCATCTACTACCATTGTTCACTAAACTAGTGTGAACTGATTTCAGGTGATTTCTCGAGATCAAGTTTTGATGGGAATAGAATAAAAAGCATATGAATGATGTGATGGGGAGGAGGGTCCAAGAAAGGGCCCAGAAAGAGGAGAATGAGGAACCATGGATGACTTGCTTTCCAGTAGCAGAGGGTTGGCAGCTGGCAGCCCCCTTTAGCTCTTGCCAAGACTTTGGATCATTCCAGCCACAGCTGAGAACTTTTTCTTCTGGTGGAAACTGCAGAATACTGTACTCCATGAATTCTCATAGTTTCTGGCAGAGATGCTAAGAAAGTACACATCCAAAAATCGGCCTTTATGTTTTCTGGGGAGATCAGGTTAATAGCAATTCAAGCGATAAACACTCTGAGTCCACAACAGCATCTTCCCTGGTGCTGATGTCCTCGTGTCTTCTCTTGCACTTTGACCCCGTGCTTCCTATTTTTCCTAGCTTTATTAAATAGGGA